AAATGGTGACACGGCTGACACATTGCGGGGACTATAACGTCACAGAACAATTTGTATATGAATTGCTGAATGGGAATCTAATTTGCTATGTAAACTTTCACCTAAAACATAGTAAAATATTCAAAAAAAAGTTGAACATAGAACTATCAGATGACCCAGCAATTCCATTCCTAGGAATATAGCCAGAAGGAATGAAGGCAGGAATGCAAAGAGAAACCGAGACACCAATATTCATCACAGCACTTTTCACAATAGCCAAAAGGTGGAAATAACAGAAATGTCCATCAAGAGATGAATAGATAAACAAAATGTAGATACACATACAGTGGGATATTACTCAGTCATAAAGAGAAATGAAGTCATGACGCATGCCACAACATGGATGAACCTTGAGAAATTATGCTGAGGGAAATAAGTCACTCCCAAAAGGACAAATACTATAAGATCTCACTTACGTGAAATGAGCAAATATATAGAAACCGAAGATTATAGGGGTTACCAGGGGTCGGGGGAGAGGGAGAGGAGGAGTTTTGGCTTACGGGTGTTGAGTTTATGTTAACGGTGGTGGAATAATTTAGAAAAGGATAGAAAGACTGGTTGCATAACTTGAAGACTATAATCAATGTCACTGAATTATACATGTAGAAATTCTTCAATTGGTGTATATTTTGCTGCATATATGCAGTAAAAAAAATCACACACACACACAAAAAAGAAACTAATATAGCTACTAAGATTTGGGATGGTGGTGAACAATAATAAATAACTAATACGTTCTTCCTGTTGCCATCAAGTTGATTCTGACTCACGGGGACCCTACAGGACAGAGTAGAACTGCCCCATAGGGTTTCCAAGGAGTGGCTGGTGGATTCCAACTGCCAACCTTTTGGTTAGCAGCCAAGCTCTTAACTACTGTGCCACCATGGCTCCTTTGAAAACATAAGACACTTCCTAAGAAAAAAATTAAAATTAACAATCTTATGTTTTATTTAATTAAATATCAAAATAAAATACTTTTAAGTTGAAATCTTAGCCATTCCCTAAAATCATGACTATTCCTCTTTTCATACCCCAAGTCAACTGATGTTCCTATTTGAATCTGTGTGATAACTCAAACACAAGACCATTAATTCATTCTCTTTCAAATGTACACAACTAAGGGAGGGATGCAGATGATTAGCTGGAATTTATACACTCCCCTACAAACATAGATACAGCAGTTGCTGTAGGGTGAGGGTGGAGCCCTGTTGGCGCAGAGGTTAAGGGCTCAGCTGCTAACAGAAAGGTCAGCAGTTCAAACCCACCAGCTGCTCTGAGGGAGAAAGGTGTGGCAGTCTGCTTCTCTAAAGATTACAGCCTGGGAAACCCTAGGGGGTAGTTCTTCTATGTCTGTCCTACAGGGTCACTATGAGTTGGAAAAGACTGGACAGCAATGGGTTTTGTTTTGTTTTTGGCAGACTGAGGAATCACATTCTATTTGACCTGTTTTTTATTTCTTTAATTAAAATAGAATAACAGCTTAAAAAAATAAAAAGAAAACCTGAGTATGCAAAAGAAGCATGATCTAAATTTCAAACAAGGCACAACTCTCCACTTTTCTTGGAAATGATTTCTAATTTAAAGTTCATTAAGAGAGGTGACATTAAATTTAAATGCTGTGCCACTGCACAAGCAGTTTATGAACCAAATGCACCAAAACACAAGGCTTTCAGCCTCTGAATAAAAAGTCTGCTTTAACAGGGTTTTTAACACAAACTCAAAAGTAATCATATTTGTTACACATATTCATATGTCTGATAACTAACCCCCTGATAAAATATATCACTCTCAGATACAAACTAGCCAATTATATTCCTTCAAGGACAAGCCCACATGCCACTCTAGTCAGAATACTTGTGAGTCAGTGTATCTTCAGTTACCATGAGCAATGGGTCACAACAAAAGAATGTGGTTTTGCCATTCAAACATACACAAGTGTTCTATTGTTTATGTGAGATTCAAAAAATTCTCAGTTTTAAAAAATTACAGTAGATAAGGAAAAAAATTTCCCTAATCTGTAAAATAAAGATAATAAGCACCATAAGGTTACTAATTTGAAAGAAAAGATGTTATCTAAAGTACTCACACTCAACAGCTCAATAAATGTAAGGAGCCCTTCCTTAGAATCAGGAATGTAAGAATGCTTTTGAATACGAGGCACATTCCTTCAAATATCAGACTTTATTCAAACAGTAGAGGCATAAAAACAAAACTCTGCAATAACTAGGCAATGAGAAGTGCCACCTGAATGAATCTGCAATAACTGAAGCTTCTAATCCCTAAACAATTTATGCCACCCCACAAATCATTTCTGACAAATGTTTCCAGGCATATTACTAATGCCCCTGCCTTCTTCAGTACAGTATAAACCAAAAAAACCAAACCCATTATTGTCAAGTTGATTCCTATAGGACAGAGTAGAACTGCCCCATAGGGTTTCCAAGGAGCAGCTGGTGGATTCGAACTGCCCACCTTTTGATTAGCAGCCAAGCTCTTAACCACTGTGCCACCAGGGCTCCACTATGTACATAGCAGGGCTTATGACTGTCTCTCAACTCAGGGAAGGCTTCTCTGAAGAAGGGAGATCAAACTGCAACCTGGAGGTTAAATAAGAGTTTGCCAGGCAGAAGAGGCAGCCGGAGTGCCAGAGCACTAACGACCTCAGGGAAGAGAATCAATGCAGAACTGTCTCGTTTGAGGAAAAGAGAGAAGTTCAGGGTGGTTGCAGCCTTTTCTCAACCAGTGTTATCAAGAGAATTAAACCCTAACACCCTGGCAATGATGTAATGAATTCTCTCCTATGCTTGTAAGCTGGCATTGGTTATGAATCACCCTTGAAAGAACAGAGAAAATAGTCTCTCAAATAATTTTCTGTGTTCTGTGGTTCTGATAAAGAACTGGCTGAGAAAGTCATTTTACACTGACCTATGAATGAAAAAAAAAATTTTTTAATCGCTACTTGACATTTAGCCTAGTAGCTAGCTGAAGTCTGACAATATTATAACCCACAGTTTTGCCACTAAGATTGTGATGCAAAAATGTATAAGCAGAAAAAAGCCACCCAAGCTTTTAGACAATGGAAATAAAAAGTAGAATATCAAGCAACAAAAGGAATGAACCAGAAGTTCATTTCACTGTGCAAAAATGTTATGAATGCTATAGTTAAGAACATAATACCAAAACCAAACCCACTTCATTGAGTTGATTCCGACTCATAGCGACCCTGTAGGACAGAGGAGAGCTGCCCCATAGAGTTTCCAAGGAGTGGCTGATGGATTCGAACTGCCAAACTTTTGGATAGCAGCCGCCAGGGCTCCAGGAACCTAATAGGTGGAACCAATTCAAAAAGCTCAGTCATTTCCAATTAAGGGAAAGATGTCAAAGCTGTTTATTCTAACTGCAACTGATCTAACTTATCATTCCATACATTTTCTGAGCACACTCTAAAATGATCTAAACAGGAAAAGTTTCTATTGAGATCTGTATTAGCTTCAGAATGGCATTTTTAAGGAAAATGAAGTACAATTTTCAACCAACTTTCAAAACACTTTGTTCCAGTCAGTCCCTTGGGAGAATAAAAAGATTATTCAGAAAACAAAGGGCTGATGTTTTAAGGTATCCTATTCTGAGTTGGTATCATAAAATATCCTTGTTAACTTCAACGTAAGTGAAAGATATGGTGCATGATCAGCTTTATTCTTTAAAGCTAGTACAGAAATATATTCTGGATTTTTCTGTTAGAAACTTTAAGTGAATAAATTGATGTTTTTCCCTATGATGATTGAGCATCTGAACGAGAAAAATAAAAGGATACTGTAGTGTTTGAATATAAGCAAATTCTAACTGTTGAAACCTTTAATTAATATCTTAAGACTTAACTTAGGGAATTGTAACTACATCCCCCAAAAAGAAAATATTACTACTCTCCAAATCAATTAAGTTTTTTAATCGAATGTAGAGACACTTTAGGGCCCACTTTGAAATAAGTCAAAAAATAACATTTTGGAACTTGCGTAACAACCTAAAGAAAAAGGAACTGTTTTGGAATAAAAGGAAGTTGACAACTCGCAACCCGAAACTCCTAGATACGCCAACGTACATTCTCAACAAAAAGCTAAAGCTAGGGAAATAAACAACGGCTACGTGATTCAATCAATTAAAAAAAAAATGAGTTAACTATTGATTTAACAATATGCTCCATAAACACATGAAAAGGTTTATTTCTTTACTCTGGTTTTCTAAACTGCGGGCTAATAATTTTGGTTTGTACTGTTTCATTTAAATTCAGTCAGTCCCGGGTATGCAACTTCTTCCAGTTAGCCGCGATATGGCAAACGGTACTGTTGGCTTTATGGCAACGGATAAAATGGTTTCAAGCACCCTCTTATTTTAATGTTTTGCTGTCATTTTGTTAACAGCATCCTTAAATGCATAGCTTCTCTGCGGGACGCATAAAACCCACAAATCACATCCCATTCCATTTCCAGGCGGCAGTTGAATACACTGAGTCATTCTGGCACCCGACTCCACCCTACAAGTCATTCCACTTTTACTTCCGCTAGGATGTGTTCTGTCAAGCCGCAAGCCCCACTCTCGGGACAGGACTCCACAGGGGCATTATAGTTATTGGGATAACAGGAGTTTTTTTCACTACCGCCTTTTAGGACTTAAAATTTTCCTCCCAGAGCTTCATCTACAGGACAGGAACAACAACAAAGCGCACGCAACCTCAGGCGCAGATACGCCACCCCCAACCCCTTGCGGTTTTCCCACCCGGACCACCGCAACACAGCCCACAAGCACCTGATCTGTAAACGCAAACCCTACAAACGCGCACTACCAGCACTGCGCACGCGCGCGCACGCGCCCTCCGCCCGGTGGTCCCAGAAGTTGACAGAAGGTGGAAAGGGGAGGTGGGGGCGACAGGGGTCATGGTAGGCTGTGCCCGCAAGTCTTCTCACCTCCGTAAACGGGTCCATTGCCCTAGGCGCCGCGTATCGACTATGAGGCGACGGAGACGGTGGTTCAAATTCAGGAAAAGAAAAGAAGTGAGTCTCGGCTCAGTGTGTCTCCTGGAGAAAACGAGGAGTCCGGGCGGGGTAACTCTCCCAGCCTCTTCTCTTCTCGGTCTCCAGTGTCAGACTCGGTCTCCCACAGCCGTTCAAATTTGAATTTCAGCGCCCGGAGCGCTGCGCATGCGTGCTGGGCAGGGCCGGGCGGGGCGCACCTCTCCCCGCCCCGGTGCTCAGTCACGTGGTTTCGCTGCGGCCGGGAGGTTCCCACGGGTGGCCCTGCGTCCGCTCAGTCAAGGCCAAACCCAGGCTGTCGGGTGGGGTGGGAGGTAGGGCCCTCCCGGCACTTAAACCGCCGGTCCCCGCGCTTCCGACGCGGCGCTGCCGGCTCCGGGCCCGAAGCCCCCCACCCCACCCCCAATGCTCACACACGCTACAGTGTTTAAACCTGTCCTTTCGCACCCTCAGTGCTTGGGCGTTCCCGCCTTCCTTCATTCCTAAATATGGGATTAAGAGCCCTTGTGTTTGAATTCCCGCTCTTTGGCCTTCCATAGCTCTCTCTGCCCATCACCCCATCCCCCACTTTACAACAAGGGAAACTGCAGGTTTATCTTTCAAGACGTGTAGATCTGGCAGGTCCTCGGACACTAAGGGTAATGACCAGTGGCCCACCTTGGGCTCTGGAAGCCTTTCTTATCTGGAAAATCAGGCTAACAAGAACAGACTGTATGTGAAGAGTTTATACACAAAATCCTGTCGTGTTTCCCATTTTAAATTCTGCCTAACCGTTTACAATGTTAGGGCTGGAAGGATTCTGAAAACCCATCTAGTTTAATCCTTCCTTTTATAGTTGAGAGAGGGGAGACCCTGAAAGATTAAGTAATTCATCCAGGAAAAATGAAAATCCCGTTCTCAACTCCTGCTCCTCTTTCCACAACTATATCAAGTTGTGTCTTATGATTGTTCTTTATAGATTACTGAGAATTGTGAAAGCATATTACATAGTTACTGATCAGATTCATTTCTTGTTAAGCAAGTCTGTTAGGGCTTGTAAAGATGACGGTTCCTGACACGTTCATCTGAAAAGTAATAGCCGTGTAGATTACAGAATGACTGACAACTGAACAAACCAAAAGCTATTCCTCCAAAGTAAGATGTTTCAGTATTTTTAATAACTTTTTTGTCTTAGCAGAGAGCAAGCATTACAAAAAGTATGTCACCAACATCTTTGAGTTTTGACACTCTAGATTGTGTTTTGTTCTGTTGTACATGGGGTTGCTATGACTTGGAACCGACTGATGGCATCTAACAACTACAGACTGTGTATCAATCAGGATTCTCCAGAGAAATAAAGAACCAGTAGGATGGAAATAGATATATTTATTTCAAAGAATAAATCCAGGTGACAGGATTGGACTCTTGGAAAGAAGTTGTATAGTCTTGAGGCAGAATTTCTTCTTTTTGGCGGGAAACCTCAGTTTTGCTCTTCAAGGCTTTCAACTGATTGGATGATGCCCACCGACATTACTGAAGATCATCTCCTTTACTTAAGCTCAATTTATTGGAGATATTAACTACATCTACAAAATACCTTCACAGCAACACCCAGATTGCTGTTTGATTGAATAACTGGGTAGTATAGCCTAGCCTATGAGTTGGAATCATCTCCACGACAATGGGTTTGGTTTTTTGCTTTATAGCCTAGCCAAGGAGCCCTTGTAGTGCAATGGTTAAGCCCTCAGCTGCTAAAAGAAAGGTTGGCTGTTTGAATCTAGCAGTGGCTCCGTAGGGAGAAAAGTCCTGGTGATCTGCTCCCATAAAGATTACAGCCTAGGAAACCCTACAGGGCAGTTCTACTCTCTTCTATAGGATCGCTATGAGTTGGAATTCACTTGACAGCACAACACAACACAACAACAATAACACAGCCTAGCCAAGCTGACACAGAAAATTAACCATCACAGGTTGCAATGAGAAGAATTCTGGGTGTAGGAAGAATTTGATTGGGGTTCTGGCATCACTGGGACTATGAGGAGGCTCTAGGCAAATCATTTAACCCACTGTTTTTTAGCTTTTGCGGGAGTCATGTATTCCTTTTAAGATAGATTGAAACTGACCTTCTACATATAAAAGTGCCCATTTAATCATAAACTATTTAACATAGTATTTCATGAAGTTCACTGACACAAGGTTAAGATTCTCTGATTTAAACTCTTTGGATTTTACTCATTTGTAAAACAGGACTATTCAACTGCCCTGCTTTACTCAGAGTTGTCAGAGTCAGATGAAAAATTGAGAGTTTCAAAGGTATTTTGGAATAAGTAATAAAGCACTTCACAAGTGTATGACATATAGAATTATTAATATTTAATTCAAAATATGCTACTTATATACCAAAGGTACTTGAATTTTTTTTATAATTCATTTTCTTTTGTTGTTGTTTTTGAGAATATACACAGCAGAACATACGATGCTTGAATTTTTTTTAAGTACTAGATAGGAAAGGGGTGTGTGTGTGTGTGTGTGTGTGTGTGTGTGTTAAACAACAATGGAAAATGAGTCATTAGAAAATTATGTAGCCGTTGTGCCTGCAGGCTTTTGCCTCTGTAAGCCTTAGTCCTGATAGTAACTACCTCACTGGGTTCTAGTCAAGACTAAAAGAGATAAATAAAGCATTCAGTGCAATATAGCCACTCAAAATATTTAATCTTCCCTCACAATCCCCCTATGTCTTTGGTTTTTACCCTGATTATAATAATAATGACAACCACCACCACAATAGTTTAAAAAAAAAAAAAAGCAGAACTGTTCTATCAGATTTTCTTGGCTGTAATCTTAACGGAAATGAGCCCTGATGACACAATGGTTAAGCGCTCAGGTGCTAACTGAAAAATTGGCAGTTCGAATCCACCAGCGTCTCGGTGGAAGAAAACACGTGGCGATCTGCTCCTCTAGAGACTGTTGTTGTTAGGTGCTCGAGTCGGTTCCGACTCATAGTGACCTATGTACAACAGAACGAAACACTGCCTGGTCCTGTGCCATCCTCACAATCGTTGCTGTGTTTGAGCCCATTGTTGCAGCCACTATGTCAGTCCACCTCTTTGAGGGTCTTCCTTGTTTTCACTGACCCTCTATTTGCCAAATATGATATCCTTCTCCAGGGACTGGTCCCTCTTGATAACATGTCCAAAGTACGTGAGATGAAGTCTTGCCATCCTCACTTCTAAGGAGCATTCTGGCCTTATTTCTTCCAAGACAGATTTGTTCCTTCTTCTGGCAGCCCATAGTATATTCAATATTCTTTGCCAACACCATAATTCAAAAGCATCAATTCTTCGCTCTTCCTTATTCATTCTCCAGCCTTCACACACACGAGGCAATTGAAAATACCATGGCTTGGCTCAGGTGCACCTTAGTCCTCAAAGTGACATCTTTGCTTTTTAACACTTTAAAGAGGTCTTTTGCAGCAGATTTGCCAAATGCAATGCGTCTTTTGATTTCTTGACTGCTGCTCCCATGGGCATTGACTGTGGATCCAAGTAAAATGAAATCCTTGATAATTTCAATGTTTTCTCCATTTATCATGTTACTTATTGGTCCAGTTGTGAGGATTTCTGTTTTCTTTATGTTGTGGTGTAATCCATACTGAAGGCTGTAGTCTTATCTTCACCAGTAAGTGCTTCAAGTCCTCTTCACTTTCTGCAAGCAAGGTTATGTCATTACGGCCTAGGAAACCCTGCGGATCAATTTTACTCTGTCACATAGGATTACTTTGAGTCAGAATCAACTCGACCACACACAACAACAATCTTAATGGAAGCAGATTGACAGGGCTTTCTTTCGCCACTGGGTGAATTCAAACTGCCAAACTTTAGGTTAGTAGTCGAATAGTTACTATTGGTTAAACACATAGTCTGTGCCAGGAACTCTGCTGGAGCCTCAACTCCACTCTCTAGAGCACTGCAGTTGCCTCCTAACATGTCTCCTTCCTTCCATTCTTAGCCCCTGGTAGTTCATCCTCTGGGTTATAACCCAGAATAACCTTCTCTTTTTAAAAAGTGTGTTACAAAATATTTCTGGTTTTTAAAAAATATAGAGAATAATAAATCAGATAGTGATGCACTACTACCTAGTTAAACACACACACACACACACACACACACACACACACACATAATTGAAGTCTCCTGTGTCCATCCCTGATCTCATTCATCTTCCTGCTCCCCAAGGGTAAACCTATCCTAATTTTGATGTTTATTATTCCCATGAGATTTGTATACTTTTACTACATCTATATATATAGACGGAGCCCTGGTGGTGCAGTGGTTAAGAGCTCGGCTGCTAATCAAAAGGTGGGCAGTTTGAATTCACCAGCCGCTCCTTGTAAACCCTATGGGGCAGTTCTACTCTGTCCTGTAGGGTTCCTATGAGTTGGAATTGACTCGATGGCAATGAATTTATATATATAGGTGTATATGCAAAACATTATATATTGTGTATATATATAACTATATATAATATATAGCTATACAATATATGCTATGTAATGTTTGCATATATACCTCCATGAACAATAATATAGTGATTTGTATAAATTTTATTTTTACTGTTTCTGCAACTTGCTTTTTATTCGGCTTGCTTTTTTTGCTGAATGTTTGTAAAATTCATTTTCACTGATAAATGTAACTACATTCCATTCATTTTCACTGCTATATTTTATTGTATGAATATACTATATATATCCATTACCCTGTTAATGAACATTTTGCTTGTTTCCAATTTCTTGATTCAAAGATCCCATGATACAATGAATTATTATATCTCCTTGTACACACATACAAAACTTTCTGTAGAGTAATATACCTTGAAATTAGTGGATCATTTAAAAAATATGTATTTCAATACTATTACTAGATATTGAAAATAAATTGTTCTCCAAATGATTATAAAAATTTATACTCCAGTCAGCAGTCTATGAGCATGCCTGCTGTTCCATATCCTCCTCAATACTTGGACACTTAAAATTTTGCCACTCATTTGTGTACAAAGGTATTTTATTTTGCCTTTCTCTTATTACTAGTGAAGCAGAACATTATTTCATGTGTTTAGTGGCCTGTCAGTTT